TTTTAAAACAATTTTTTTACTGTGACATATGAGTCATGCCTACTACACAATAATGTGATTATTTTCAAAATCGGTGATTTCGTGAAATTTTCTGGTCCCACTTGACTCTACTGTGAAAAGAATAATCGAAAAATTTGAAAGCACTGCTTTGGTTAGTGATGTGAAACACACAACACGAGCTCGTTCAGAAAAAAATATCGCAGCAGTTCGCGAGAGTGTGGCCTAGAGTCCAGAGACGTCGATTTGCCATTGTGCACAAGAATTGGACATTACAAAAGCCACTCTTCAGCGAATTCTTACTTAAGATTTGCATCTTCATGCCTACAAAGTCCAATTCACTTAACAACTCCAGCCAAAAGACCATGAACAGCGAAGAGAGTTCACCAATTGGATCCTTGAGCAGCAAGAAGTGAATGCCGATTTTTCGGACAAAATAATTTTCAGTGATGAGGCCCATTTTCACCACTATTTAACACCCTTGGACTTTTGGCTGTGGGGTTATTTGAAGTCACAAGTTTATGCCAACAAGCCCGCCACCATTGAAGCCTTAAAAGCAGAAATTAGACGCTCTATCAACGAAATACCGCCACATGTATTCAATAATGTTATTGCAAATTTTGCCAAAAGAATACGCTTGTGCCAGTTAAGCCGTGGTGGCCATTTACCAGATGTGGTATTTTATACATAATTTCCAAATGTGTACTTTATAAATCAATAAATATTTTAATGCTTTAATACTTAAAACCATGTTTTACTAAACTTTGAAATCTTGCGCTCTTATTGATACACCCTTTATTAAAAAGGTGTACCTCTCAAACTTCGATAAAATAAACCGTTTCCGAGATATTCGAGATTACAATAATTGTTATCGCATTAAAGGACTGAAAGGTATATGATAACAATTTTTTTAATTGGAAAAACTACAATTTTTTTTTATGTGACGGTCAGGGCAAAAGTCCCGAGGCTCAGGGAATGCCCTTTTTATTTTTTTCAATTAAAAAATAAAATTTGTTATCATATACCTTTTAATCCTTATAAATAATGCGATATAACAATTATTGTAATCTCGAATATCTCGCAAACGGTTTATTTTATCGACGTTTGAGAGGTACAAGTTTTTAATGGTAGCCGAACTGTGTAATCGAAAAATTGCATCAAATGTTATAAAACCCTAACCTCAAAGTTTGTATGGAACAATAAGCTTAAAGCAACCGTCGTTTCTACGACACTGTGTTCACTCAAACAATTGTAATTATGTGTGAATATGTTTTTTGGTAGTAAGTGAATGTTCGCATGATATCACCTTTTCAAGACTACCATAGTAGAAGTTATATTAAAAAAACTTATATGATAAGTAAAACTTTATTACCCTGTATCTTGGAAACATAATATAATAATAATAATGTTTATTGGTACTAATACATTAAAAATGTTTGTACAAGTCAGAAGTAAAATCTAATGTAAAACAAATATTATACAAAGAGAGCCTTTAAATGGTAAAATTAATAATTTAAAACAAATAAATATTGTATAAACACAAATATATAAACAGTTAAAATTTTTGAAATATTACATGTGACTAAAGTTATTTTGAAAATAGTCCTCAAATGAATATTTATTTAGGTTTTCGTCTTATTTTGACTTGCTCAATCTTTTCCTAAATTTTTGCCAATAAGTTTAGGGACACCTTGTATATATGAAACAAAAGTAAAATTACAGAAAACTGAACATTGAAAAAATTTAAGTTACAAGTACAAGAATTTAAAATTAAATTATAGAAACATAAAAAAATTACAAACAGTAAAACAAATAAAGGATTATTGTAAGTATTTAAATTTGTATTCTTTATAAACATGTGCAAATACACACCAAATAGGTTTTTTTAAATGTTATATAAACATAGTGCGAGAAACGACTTATAAGTGAGCTAGAGCCTCTGTAAAGCCCCTTTACATTAAATACAACGTGTCCAAAGTTATGGAGATATAGGTAAATAGCAGTTACACAAAGGTTAACAATATAAATAAATCAAATTAATTATAGTAATAATAAAAATAAATACAATAGGATATGTTATATCAGGTACAAATATCAAAATTTTATTGCCTCTCCACACATGCCAGCAATCAATGACCATTGAGGGAATTAAGCTTGGTTTTAAAGGATGCCAAAGAGCAATTAAAAAAGTTTACTGGGGAGAGACTGTTGCATATTCTGAAAACCCGACTCAATGGAGAATTACTGGCATATACTGTGCGACAGTTGGTAATTTCTAATAGCATAGAGTTTCTCAAGTGCCTCGTCGGTATTTTCAGGTTAAAAGACGCCAGTATTTTAGACGATTGTATCAAGCCATTAAAAACCTTGAAAAGGAAGCAAGCATCCTTATTAAATCTACGCCACCTGAGCGAGCTTAGGCCTAAATATATAAGGGTATCCTGAGTACTTAATATTATTCCACCTTTGAGCAGTCTGTACTTCATGTGACGGGCAAATTTGTTCTGAATGGACTCGACTCTTATCAACCTGGACATTATAAATTGGTGACCAGATTGTTGACCCAAATTCTAGGCGAGATACGACCAAACTCACAAAGAGCAAAACAAGAGAGCGAAGGTTGCTAAAATCTTCACATATCCTTAATACAAAGCCCAATAATTTCTTGCCTCAGCGACTATGGCATCAATATGGTTACAAAAGTGAAGTTTATTATCCAATAACAAGCCTAGATCCCTAACTAGATTTACTTCGTTCAGCACATTTCCCGAGATGGAGTAACTGCAAGCGTTGACCACTTTTTTCCTGAAGAATCGAATAAAAGAACATTTATTGTGGTTTAGAAATTTCACTCTTTTATCTCCCCAGGTTTTGGAAATATTAAAAAAAAACATTTTCAGGGACGGAATTTGAAGGGGCTCTAGCTCACTTAGAAGTCGTTTCTCGAACTATGTATATATAATATTTTTTTATTATTTTGAGAAGTTTTAACACCTGGTAAATATTTCTACAACCTTTTGTTACCACCCTTTATAGTGTGTATGTATTTGTCACATTGGATAAAGTCTCAGCTCGTGTTAAATAGCTTTATTTGCAACCGAAAGTTGCCGCACGTCGCCTGCCATTGACACAAGGAGGCAATACTAAATATTGAGTATGAGTAGTATGAGTGAGTATAAGAGACGTATAACCAGCCCCATTTCCTCTTGACTCTCGAACCCCGTACAGGCCTATGTTTACTTACGCCGATTTTTGTTCTTCCCCAGCAACTGCACGGCTTCACCCGTGTTTGCTGGGTGCGAATGTCCATTGCGTTCCGTACTGTCCCCTATTTGGGGCTCGAGAGCGAGAGGCGAATAGTTATAATAGCCATTCCCGGGTTCGCCGAGCCTATGCTATACGCTCAGTGGGGTATGGAGGAGGGACGGGAGGGTGTTGGTTTTTGGGGGACAATTACGCCGACTTAAAACTAAGTACGACGCGGAATCCCCCTAGACCAGTCGATTAGTATTACTCCAAACATTTGGGATTACTATTTGGAGTTAGGGAGTTGTTATTTCGCTGCAGGGGTGTAGTTTCCTAGTCGAGGTCTTTGTCTTGTTTGTTATTGTCATTGTCCGTGTCCTGGTCAGATAGATCCTGCCCTTGGTAAAGTGTGTCAGTTGTTTTTAATAATTTTTGTCCCAAGCACGTTTTGTGGTAGAGTTCCGTCTTTGTTTATCAAATTCCAAAGCATTGCATTTATTCACTAGTCAAACAAATCACAAGCGCGATTATTCTGTTGTCTAATGTTTACAAATGTCGAGTTTGGCTATTAGGCCCTTTTTTTTAATGTGTTAGAATTATGATCAATGTTAGTTTACTCTGTCAGTCCAGTGTTTATTTTCGGTCTCGATTGGGACCGCCTTACGCATTTGCTGTTGACAGACTTATTGCCCCACGCCGCGTGCCCTTCATAGGTTTTAAAGATATCCCAATAAACACTTTAACGATACCTATCACCATCAACATTGCCCGTGTAAGAATTTTTAACACTTTTTAATACAATTTTGCAATGATAGTAATTAAAAACAAAACAATTGTTTAAAGAGTAAAATATGTTCTTAACATAATCATATTTTAAAGTTATTTTAACATTTTCAAGTAAAATAAATGTTATGTTTAATAAAATGAATACGGGCAATGTTAATGGTGACTAATAACGAAAAATGCTTGCTGGGATCTGCTGTATTTATATTGCAGATTTGTATCAGGTCATGCATACTCTTAAAGTAAAACTTATCAGATTTTTCCCCTTGCGGATGGCCACCTCCCCTCTTCTCCGACCTCCCCCGTCCGTCCAGTGAAAAGCCTCCAATGACAGGTGGCACCCAAGTCATTCATAACACCCAACACTCCACTCCTCAATGACCGTTACACCATTTTAGCTTGCATTCCATGAAAATGTTTGTTTCACTTATCAGTTCACACCCCTTTTTTTTAATTATTGTTGGTTTCATCTTTAAACTTTTACGTTTCAAAAGCTCTCCCGCACGCGAGTCGCGTATAATACTAAATATTTTAGTATAAATTGAACTAAATAAGATGAATTATTTTTAATCGATAGGATCTTTCTTTACAAAGAATATTTAACATTTTAACTTTAAAGCTTACAGTTAAACTGACAATTAATTTTAATCCTAAAGGATTTCAGCTTAGTGTTCAATAAAGGCTTGATTTTTATTTTTTATGCCCTGATAATTATAATTTTAGTTAATTCAATAATAATAGGTGTTTTCGCGGTGCTAATCCCGAACTAGTTCGGACATCCTAGGCATGCGCATTTTAATATTTGTCATGCGCACTTTACAATTTGAACGCAAAATTTTAAAAATCGCATGCCTAGGATGTCCGGAATTAGTTCGGGATTGGCTCCGCGAAAATAGCTAATATTTTGAATAAATTTTCAGGTGAATATACTATTTTATTTCAAAGTATTTAATTAAAATAAATACAAATATTACCTTTTATTGATGGCTGAGCCAATAACTCTTCACTAAGCATTCTTTTCCAGCCTGAATACCATTCTGTAACCTGGGTATAATTTGGGTTATGATTAAGCCAAACAGCCAAAGTTTGCAACCATCTTGGAAAAAAGAATTTATCCAAAATTAATGTCATATTTACTATTGAAAGCATATCTTGCCAATCCATTACCCAATGCCAAGGATCTAGAAAAAACATTTACATATCGTTAATGTGGGTCTTTTTATTCCCTTCTTCGGGAGGCCGTAACGGATTCGTTAAGGGGCATTTTTTTAAGGATGTTTATAAAACAATCTAGTGTTTTTTCTTTGCAGATTGTACTATTTAACTTTGGCCTCCTGTATATATAAAAGTTATTTAATTTTTAAGGCCGCCTATGAGGGTGTCCCAAAATTGGGTAAATGTTAATCTCTCCTAAAATTTCAAGGCGAGTTTTTCATTTTTTGCGTTTTTTCAAATTAACAGGAGTTATTTAATATTTAAGGCCGCCAACGGGAACACCAAATTTGTTTTTGTTTATTTTTTTCCAATAATAGAATATCAGCGTCTTTTGCAAACACAAAAAATATAACAAAAACTTGTCTGATAGAGCAGAAAAACTGCGCCCTTATTTTTGATTTTACCCAAACTTTATGGATGTCACAAAGACGGAAATCCGCTGTGATTTCATTTTCGCGTACGCCACTTCCGGTACGCACAAAATACAGTATTTACAGTGTTATTTTTATGATTTGTGAAATATAGTAGTTTTAGTAAAAAATATATCATAGCATAGGCCTTTGAAAAATAATAACTTATATGTTTGATGGACTGTTAAGAAATAAACTGAGTTTTGACAAAAAAATGTGTTTTTTCTACTATTACGAAATATGACCGTTCTAACATCACTTTTTAATGTGGAATTACATATATTTCTTAAAATGTTACAGAATGAATTATTCTATCATCGAATGACGGAATAAACACTGGTGGCGCCATCTCTGTGTTTCTTATAAAACAACTTTTAGACCGATCCAACCTCACTTTCTCCCAATTAAATTATTTTTCCATGGTATTTTTTAAAAACGTAGAAAAAGTATAGTCTAAAACACATTTGGAATTGCATATTCCGTTATCGTGAAACCGTCAAACTCGCCTTCGGCTCGTGTGACAACTTTCACTCGAGCAGAATATGCTGTATTCCAAACTTGTTACAGAATATACTATTCTTGTCTAGGCCGATTTCTTTTTGGCCCGCCTACGTATTCTTTAGCAATTTATAGTGATGTAAATTGAAAAAAAATCTTTTTTAAATATGTTTTTAGAACAAAACAAAGCAATTTTTTTCAGAAATTTGTTTGTTTTTAACGTTGTTTTCCTTAATAGAGATTCTCTATTCTATATTATTGCACGCGATCTATTACTTACTATTCGTAAGAGAAGGGTGTTCCCCGGAAATAGTTGCGACAGATGACGGCAGAAGACGATGTAGTTTGCTTTGTCGTGCGTTTTAAATTCATCTCATGGAAGAAAACATTGTTTTGCTGAGCACTAAATCCCGTATTTTCCAGAAGTTAACAGTACTAAAAACTAAAACTGTGTAGCTAAGCTGTCGAACGACGATTTCTAATAGAAATCTCCCATTTTTCTTGCGAGGGGAAGTATTTTGGTCCAACCATGGAGTTCGTATGCTATTATGGTGTATTTAAGACACTCTAGCTGGGGACACTTTCAGAAACAACGTTTTTGTTTTTTTCAAATAAAAAAAACGTTTTTTACAACACTATTAATTTCTTTCAGTGTATTAAAAATTGTTTTTTATGAATATTTTACTCATACATTGTTGTAAGAATGTATCAGGTACCTACTGAATTAAAAAAAACATTTTTTTTTCAAATTTTAATAAGTAAAAATAAGAGTTTTGAAGTCTTACTTTCTCTACTCCAACCCAAGTAGCACACTGACGTCTGCTGACGTTTAAATGACGTCTCCTATATTATCCTTCAAAAATTGAGTCATTTTGAAATTTGACATTTTTATGTACCTATTTACAACAATTTAACGATAGCCGCCACCGACAAGCAAGCCACCACAGACAAGCCGTTAAAATGGTACACAGAACGCTTAAATGACCCCAAAGACAATTTAAACTTTAAGACTGCGGTAACTAACATCTTACTAAATAGTAACCCCGACCTGGAAAACGTATCAGAGTTATGGACGTATATAAAAGACTGTTTAATAATAGTAGTCAACCGCCCGCTATCAAAACCGATGGAACCTACACACGACAGCATAAAAAAGCGCAAGTTAAGCTACAAAAAGCTATCAGGAACCACTCACACAAACCAAGCACACAAACTGCCCAGGCAAAACGCGAGGCAAAAACAGCAACACGGCTGGCCATACGGGAACAAGACATAGCGAAAAGCTACACTTTCTTTAGAAACCTTAACGACTACATGCTTCACATTTCATGACACGTTAGCACAAAACATGCACTTCTCACAAATTAACAAGACCAGTTGGGAGCAACTAAGCAACAATAAAAATAAAATAAACAGGTGATTTTATCGTAAATTTTACCCATTTTAATAATTCTACTTTTTTATTTATTATTGTTAGATTTATTTTTGTTCATTGGTTTCAAACAACTATTTTATTTACCCAGTCAAAATTCAAATTGTATAGATATACATTATAATGTTTTTTTTTTTTTTTTTTTTTAATGTATTTATTAAACCCTAAAAGATTACAAGCATCTACAACAGGTATAAATTAAAGAATATATATTAATACATGTCAAGTTCTCAGTGAGAACAAATAATTTTTTAAATTAAAAATAAATAAGTTTAAGGATGTAAGCATTTTAATATTTTCTGGTAGTTGGTTAAACAATATCACAGCCTCCCTTGTGGAAATTTTTCTCTGAGAAAGTCTTACTTTCTCTGAAAAAGTCTGAATAATACTTATTAAGTCGGAAAAAGTCAGAATAAGACTTATTAAGTCGGAAAAAGTCTGAATAAGTCTTATTAAGTCAGACTAATAGCAAGATTTGGGAGTCTTCTGGAAGAGTTAATAAGACTTTTTCAGACTTAATAAGACTTTTAGTAGAGAAATGGTAGGTACCTATGGCGATAAAAATAAATATCCGAAATAATTCATAGAGGTTGTATTTGGTTATCGTAAAATAAAACACATAGACAAGTATTTATTAACATTTTTGCTGTTGTTATAAGCCAAGTTTATTGCATAATTACCTATATACTAACATATGTAAGATGTAATAATTATAACAATTATAATTTTATACATACGATGCGCTTAACATGCTTTCATTGTTTCCAACATAGAAAAAGGAGTTAATATCAAGTCTATAGACATGATATTTTCGATAGACTCATAAGACAAATATGGTTGATCTTCGTGTTTCATTCATCTTTGTATCATGGTTGATCTTCCTGTTTACGTACAGTGTTGCCATAAAAGTTCCTGACCATAAATTACAAAATACTAAAATAATAATAAAATTGTAACAAGATAGAATAAAATAATTGTGCATATTTAGTAAATATACAATATTATTTACTGAAAATTTCTTTTGTTATTATTTTGATAGAAATTTGCAAATCACCCGCAAATATTATGAAAATACCCGATTTTCGAGTAAAATACTTGCAAACGGCAACACTGTGTCCCACTGACAGGTCAGCTGTGCTCTAATTGGTCAGCTAGCTAAGCTGGTCTCTCGATATTACGTCTTACGTCTATTGTTTGTAACAATGTTTAGATAGGTAAATATTTGCGTGTATCAAAAGAAACTATTAAAATAAAACGTACAGTGGCAACTCCTTTTTCTATGGTGGAAGCATGCATGTCAAGCGCATCGTATGTATAAAATTATAATTGTTATACCTAATTATTACATCTTACCTATGTTATTATATAGGTAATTATGCAATAAACTTGGCTTATAACAACAGCAAAAATGTTAATAAATACTTTTCTATGTGTTTTATTTTACGATAACCAAATACAACCTCTACGAATTATTTGGGATATTTATTTTTATCTCCGTAGGTACCTACCATTTCTCTACTAAAAGTCTTATTAAGTCTTAAAAAGTCTTATTAACTCTTCCAGAAGACTCCCAAATCTTGCTATTAGTCTGACTTAATAAGACTTATTCAGACTTTTTCCGACTTAATAAGTCTTATTCTGACTTTTTCCGACTTAATAAGTATTATTCAGACTTTTTCAGAGAAAGTAAGACTTTCTCAGAGAAAAATTTCCACAAGGGCTGAGAGGAGATCTTCTTGTTTCCCACATTTGAAGAATTTGGTACCACATGGAAATGTTGTCTGGTCCTCGTATTGTGTTCGTGTAAATCACAGTTTAATTGCAGCTTAATTTTGGTAATTAAAATATTGTTTTTTATTTTGTACACTAATATCATGGAGTCTAGATTAATGATTTCCTGAATCTAAGTATTCTAAGTTCTTTGTACATTTCTATTGTGTTTGCCATAGGTGGTTTATTAAATATTATTTTTAATGATTTGTTTTGACAAATTTGTAAATCCTTAATATCACATTTTCTGGCCTGTCCCCAAATGCATGGGAGGTAAGTTAAGTGTTAATTTTATTGTGATTAAACTCAGTAGCGGATCCAGGATTTTGGTTTGATAGGGGATTCACCCAGCTGAGGGTAAGCTTTATCAAGGTAAAGACTAAAAAAGCACACAAAATTTTATTTGCTTATTTAACGCTCCTTCCAAAGAGTTATTTCTCCGGATAGGTAACGAGAGAAGATGTGGCAAGTCGTTGCTCGGCAGAGGCCAGATTGGGGAGGGGGCTTGAGCCTTAGCCCCCTGGATCAGCTACTGATTGTACTACTGATACGATAAATATAAATTTTTGGGATCGTAATGCCCAGATAGCAGAGCTGGGCACGAGTACTGTTTTAGAGCGGCAAAATGAATGTCTTGGAGTTTTAGAAATTAGTCTTATTTTCTTTTTAAAACAGTTTTATTTCTCGTAAGGTACAGAACCAAAATCGTGTATAAGTTTGTTATATATGTATAATAATAATAATAAATAATGGTTTCCTAGGAACAGGGTTCCATAGAGATTACATATATTTATTTAATTAGCATATATGCTACTTGAGTAACTCAATCTCGAACAAGTACTAAAAAAGTTTTCGT